AAAACTTGTGAGCCTAAAATTTTCAAGCTCGACTCGAACTCGAAAGATAATAATGAAACTCGACTCGAACTCGAAAAGGCTCGAACTCAAAACAAATCAAGAGCTTAACTGAAACTCAAGACTCGAGCTCGATTGAAACTCGATTCAAGCTCGAAGATAGATTAATTTTCAATTGTTGAAACCATCCCCTTTTATACACCCTCTTTACCTCTTATTCCCCCCAAAACCACCGATGTGGGATATGAACTACTTTCAAAACAGCTCAACAACAACAATGGTTAAGTTTCTGGAACAATGGCTAACAACTTTTGAAACCCATCCCCCTTTTATACGTAATCAACCCTTTCTTTTATTCAGAGATTAAAATCAACTTCAGACGAAACTAATATCTTCTTGCAAAACAAAAATGGCTAACACAAACTCCATTAATACACAATTCTTCCCATTAATTTCAATTGCCTCTAGATCGGATTATTCTACTTTCTGGAACTCAATAACTATAATACACAATCATAATCTTCTTCTTCCTCTAAATTTGACTCGTACGACGTGACGATGCCGTACTTTGTTTCCGCCATGAAAGCCGATGCAAAAGCAGAAGGCATGGAGTTAAACATGTGGTCGTCGATGACATCAATGTCGGTTTCTGTTCTTTTGATGAATCGGCCTATGATTTTTGGCCTTGATTCGGCGTAGGCCTTTCGGGAAACGTATCAGATTGTCTTCTCGAATCTTCGGTTCTTTCTCTTCTCTTTGTATCGTAAAACTCGAGCCTCTCGGTCGAGTCCGCCTACTTGGGAAGCTTGGTTGTTGATTCCGGCAACCTTTGGATCAGTCATGGTTGGAACTGTTCCTACTTCAAGTGACGAAGATGAAACCTGAAAGTTTTATAAAATTTCGTCAAATTATAATTTAGTCCCTCTGTTATTATTACTTTTGAGATTTAATCATCTACTTTAATTTGATAATCTAATAAATTATGTTGAAATATCTTTTTAATCATCAATTTTTTTAAGTTATAAAATAATCATTAAACAACATAAATAATATTAAAAATTTCAAATTATTATAAAATGATCATTAAACTATTTTAAAATGATTCTAAACCCCTACCTAAATGTTATAAAAACAATATTCAAATTTATCAAGAATTATCACTAATTTATAATATTTTAATAAATTTAATAACTATTTTGTAACTATCTAAACTTTCATATCTAAAAGACTCTTCCGACATAGTTTAATGATAATTTGTATAATTTAATCTAATAAATTTAGGTTCAATCGAATGAAATTGCATAAATTTGTTTTAAATGTTCAGGTGTCATTTATGTTATTTTCCATATTATTTTAGCTTAAATCGAATAGGATCAATTGCATATAAGACCCTATAGTTTATGCGCATTTTGTATTTAAGTCATTGGTTTAATTCCAATTTTGTAAGTTTAATTTTACATTTACGTGAATTTAATCATCATTCTAAAGTTAGTATATTTAGCTTAAATTAGTCCTCACATTTATATTTCTCTTAATTTAGTCCATGTTTAGGATTGTTTTCTTTAATTAGTTGTGTATATTTATTTTGCATGTTGATATGTTTATGTATAAGTATGCGATTGATTTATTTAGGAGTCGTATAACATCATTTTGCATATTTTGGATGTTACCTTCATGTGCATAACTTAACCTCTATCACATAATTATATTTAGGTTTTAGGATTTAGGGTTTATTGTAAAGACATTAATTAATCGACTTGATACCGATTTATGAGGTAAGTATAATTTAGGGTTTATGATTTAGAGTTTACGGATTAGGTTTTAAGGTTCATTGTAAGTACATTAATTAAAATTTGAGGGTAGTTGTATTATAGAATTTTAAATATATTTTTAAAATTTTATAACTATCAATAGTGTATTTTTAATAATGTAATTTTAAAAAATCTAAAATTATAATATAACATTTTTTTCAAGCTGCTCACGAGCTTTTCGAGTCGAGTATCGAGTAGCTCGTTTAGGCTCGTTAAGAACTCGAGTCGAGCTCGAGTCGAGTCCATTCGATTCAAGCATTTATCGAACCTTGATCGAGTCGATCTCAAATAGCTCACGATCTGTCTTGTTTTATTTACAGCCCTACAAGTGATCTTTGTCGGGCGTGGCAATCGAACTGGTGGCCGAAATTGTGTGTACCAGTACTAAATCCGTAATCTTTTCCTAGGACAGGTCGCAGCCCAAACTATTTTGTGCTTTCATTCTCATTGATTTTTTTGTTAATGCCTTGGAAAAAGGAAAAAATATTTTGTTAATTATACTGAGAAATGCACCAAAAACTTTAATATTATTAAGGGTAAACTACGCAAATGGTCACTAATATTTGAGTAAATTTTTTATTTTCACTTTTGATGTTTCAAAAGTCACAAATTGGTCACTACTTTTCTTTCATACGAATTGAAGAAGGAAAAATGATTTTATGGAAGAAGAAGAAATGTGTTTATGGAAGAAAAAGAAATGGGTCTATGGAAGAAGAAGAAAGGGGTTTATGGAATAAGAATAAAGGGGTTTATGGAAGAAGAAGAAGAGGGGTTTATGAAAGAAGAAACAATGAGTTTATCGAATAAGAAGAAAATATTTATGGAAGAAGAAGAAATGTGCTTTTGGAAGAAGAAGAATGGTTCATAATGATAAATGAAACCCTTGATTCCCCCCCCCCATTATTAATTAGGGTAAACTACACAGTTGGTCACTAATGTTTGAGTATGTTTTTGTTTTTCTCACTGAAGTTTCAAAGACATGACGGTCAACCCAATCAATTCAGTCCATGCAAGCAGTTAACGCGCCAACTGTGTTTCCAATCACACCTGATAACGGTTGTTAACGTCGAATGACCAATTTGTAACAAACGATAATGTTAGTGATTGATTTGTGACTTTTGAAACATTAGTGGTAAAAACAAAAACTTACTCAAATATTAGTGATCATTTGTATAGTTTACCTTATTATTAACTCTTAAATTTATCAAACACAAGCAATTGTTTTCTGTTTGGGCTTTGATCTTTATAACATTAAAAGAGGACATAGTTGACTTTGATTAAGCATTGTTTTCTAATATAAGAGCCATTATTCTCATGCAGGAGATATTCTCATGCATGAATTATACTTTAAGTCTGTCTTTTCTACTCAAAAGATATGGTCCCAAAAAAAACAAAATTCTCGGAGTCTGGCGCACAATTTTCTCCCTTAGCCTTTTCTTTTCGGTCTAGTATTCGGCATATTATATATATATATATATATTAAAAAATCATTATTCTCTTTTAAATTGATTCATTAATTGTCTAATTTCACGTCAAATATTTTAATAAATAAAATGGGTAGTAGGATAGACAAACAATAGGTATAAACCCATAACAAAAATATTATAAAAATAAATAGGAAGGGATATCAAATCATGTGTGTCAAAACTGAAGATAGGCTATTTATAAAAAAAATTGTAATAAATATAATTATATGTATTAAACACGATTGACACAAGAATAACAAATACAAGGAGGTGATGGATAATGATGAAATTTATGGTACACAAGAGGAGAGAATCCAGGAGGAAGAGCATAGCATAGAAACAGTATTTATAAGATTTGTTGTTGCTTTTTTTGGTGTGATGTGTATGAAGTCAAAAGTCAAAGTAATTGGATAATCTGAAGAGCGGCAATCTGATTCTCCCATTCTCTCTGGGACAAAAATAGAAACCTAATCAAAGGTTGCTCACACTTCAAACTCACAAGTTGAATTATATTCCTCCCTGTCCAATTTAATTACATAATTCTTGTAATAAATAATTAATACTAATAAAATTAGACAAAGTAAAAAAAAAAAAAAAAGCATTCATGGCAACCTATCTGTTTTGCAAAACATATTGCTGGTTCCTTCATCATTCTGATCAAAATTCTCCCAAGTCCGGCCCCACATAATCTGGGTATTTCTTGCATCGTTGCTTTCACTTGGACTATATTTATTTGTGCGAGTGTTATGCACTTTAGATTTTCCTCGGGAAAGTTAAAGATGTAATTGCCAAGGAAATGTCTTTTGCTACAATACAAGTGTAAATTTTCATTTCGGATGTTTTAAATTATTATAAAATAAATATTAAATTTATTACATTTTTATATTTATTATCATTTTATAATAATCTAATAATTTTTTAAATTTAAGAATATAACCAAAAATAATTATTTAAACATAATTTTATCTTAAATATTTGTCGTGTTTTCAAAAATTCATTGTTTTATATATTTTTTTAAATATTGGAAAATTTAATGTTTATATTTATGTAAAGAAGCAAAGATAATTATGCACTAATTGTGACTTATTTAAACAGTTTATCTATTTATTTCTAGAGGAGTAAAAGTTTACCCCAAGTGCTTCCACTGAAAGATTAAATTATTTTCATATATATATATATATATAGAAATAAACATATGATTTTGTACGGGTATAATAAAAAAGGAGTGGTGGTCCTTCTACTATACTGCTCATTTGCCTTCTATGTCAAGCAACCCCGTAATTCTTCTATTCTCTCTTTGCATCTCTCTTTCTGCAACATTCATGGCAAAATAATCATGATCAGCAGCACTCTCTCCCGACACCCATGTGAATTCTTGTCATTTTTATTTTTTTTCTTTTCCAATTTCCTTTTCCATAATTTCTCAATCTTTCTCTCCTTCTCAAAAATAAAATAAATAAATAAATAAAAATAAATAAACTTTCCCTTTTCATATCCATAATCTATGGCAAAAAAACCAAAACAAAGAACTGTAATTTCCCCCCATATATCGTCTTCATTACTCAAACTCTTCTACTGCCACGTTTAGTATTTTCTGTTTATCTTGTAGCCTGGGAGCATTTCTCAGTTCATAACTTTATATAAACCTTTCAAGAACTTAGCCAATGGATTTAATTTGAATATTATCTAAGCTAAACGGTCTATATATCAAATAAGCTTTTCCCCCCCCTTAAAAATTGAAGTAAAAAAGAAAGATTATATATTTAAGTTATAATACAGATAGGGTTGCCATGCTTTTGAATGTGTACCGCAGCTGTGAAGGCCGTTTCTTCTCTTTTTTGCTTTAGTAGTCAAGCCCTCTAAAACAAAGGTGTGGGAGACATTAAACTTTAGCCAAGAAAGAAAATACAGACAACTGGTAGTATTTTTCTTATATATATATACTACTTTTGCTATATTTTCTTTGTTTCTCTCTCTTGAACCGCCTAGCCATATGAGCTCTACTTGAATTTGCCAAGGCTTTAAAGCCAGTATGTTGAGTTTATGAAGGCCAACTTTTTTTCTTCTTCATGTTTTTCTCCTTTCTTTTTTCCAACTTGGAGGCTTCAGTTAAAGCAAAGATAAGTGAGGAATTTCTGGTGATTTCTATATGGTTAAAGAAGGTTTATATCTCAATCCCACTGTTACATTTTTTCTCTTTTCTTCTCTCTCCCCCTATCCCTCTCAGTGCTCTTTCCTTTTCTTTGTTAGTACCAGTACTTCTTCCTCGTGAGAAAGAAAAATAGAATTTTCTTCTTTTGGAGCAGATTTCTCATCTGGGTTTTGCATATTTTTTCTTGTTCTTCTTTTTTTGTGTGATTGGTTTAGGTAATAGTTTCTCACAAAGATAGAACCGGGGATATTAAACACGTGTATTTTTATATATATGACATACGGACTCTTCTTCTTCTTCTTTTCCCTGTTTGCTAAGTTGATTTAGAGGCTTTTTGGTATGTTCTTCTGCTTCTTCCTCCTCTTTGATGCGTTCTTTTACCATGTATAAAATAAGATCTAAAGTCATAAAAATTACATAGGTTGAAGAAAACTAGGACTTACTCTTATACATATTAATCAAATTCATCAGTTTATGTCCTTTGCCTTTTTCCCCCCAAGGGATACCAGATCTAAAACGGGCTTATATATGGTTTCTGTTATATAGAGAAGCTAACTGGGATATGAGTAATCGGCTGCTATACAAGGTTGGTTATTTCATTGAAGATTTCAAGAGTTTGAGGCAACGAAGATAGCATTTACCGACACCAACGAAAGGGGGAAGATAACAGAAGCAATGAATAAGAGTAATCTGAGCTCCATCAGCAGCTCCGATCTCATCGATGCAAAGCTCGAAGAGCATCAGCTGTGTGGATCCAAGCACTGTCCCGGTTGCGGTCACAAACTCGAAGGAAAACCGGTACGGATTCATCTCATAATATTCTTGGCTTCAGCGGCAAGAGCTTGCCAAGAGAAGAATCAAGGAAAAAATACGAGAAATATACTTGTATTCTAATCACGGGGTTTTTTTTCCTGGATGGTCAAGTTGTTTCTTTAATGGAAAACAGAACTATATTCGAACAATATAAGATTAAAGATTTCTTCTTTTTCTCTTTATTTTTTTCTCTTTATTTTGTTTATTCTTCCCTTTATTTTTTGTGCTTTAATTTGAACTGAATAATGAAAAAATGTTGCAGGACTGGTTAGGTCTACCAGCAGGAGTGAAATTTGATCCAACAGACCAAGAACTGATAGAACACCTGGAAGCAAAAGTGGAAGCTAAAGACATGAGGTCTCACCCTTTGATTGATGAGTTCATCCCAACAATTGAAGGAGAAGATGGGATTTGTTACACCCATCCTGAGAAACTCCCAGGTTGTCTTGAAATCCTTCAACTTTATCTTGTTTGATATTTGCTTCCATCATTATTCAATGCTATTAGGTATTACCATATTGTCAACCCTCATTAATTCCGGTTTGTTGCGCCTAAGTGAACCTAACTTTGATTTTTAGCTATTGTTTTCTATTTATTTCTTGCAGGCGTGACCAGAGATGGATTAAGCAGGCATTTCTTCCATCGACCATCAAAGGCTTACACCACGGGGACAAGAAAAAGAAGGAAAATTCAAACCGAATGTGACTTGCAAGGTGGAGAAACAAGGTGGCACAAAACCGGCAAGACAAGGCCTGTCATGGTGAGTGGCAAACAAAAAGGTTGCAAGAAAATCCTGGTTCTCTACACGAATTTTGGGAAGAACCGAAAACCCGAAAAGACTAGTTGGGTCATGCACCAATATCATCTGGGTCAACACGAGGAAGAGAAGGAAGGCGAGCTTGTGGTGTCCAAGATATTTTATCAGACTCAACCAAGGCAGTGCAACTGGTCTGATCGAACTGCTGCAGCAGCTGTTGAAGGAACCAACGTCGTTGTCTTCGACCCTAATAGCAGGCGAGATAGCGGCGTTCGGAATTGTTCCTCAAAGGAACAGTTAATCCCTCTTAGAGAGGAAGTATCGGGAGCCGGGATTGCCGCCGCGGTCGCTTTATCAAGTCTTGCGGGTGCCATGGATATCCAACACTTAAAACCCGATCACCTTCTCAGTTTCTCCCCGTTTAGTAAAAGCTTCGACGAGGTACATTCTTCCTTCATTTATAATGTTATATTCAATGCGTTTTCTCTCTTCTACAACTTGCAAAAGTTTTCCAAGTTTTAACATCAATCAACTGAACCACGAAATCGAAGCATAAAATGTCATTGAGGTTTGTACCTCTTAAATTTTATGAATAATTCCAATATTTTCATGAAAACATATTAAAGTTCAAACATCAAAGTTTGCTTATCTTACATAAAATAAAGGTTAAAGGAATAAATCTTAAAGTTTTAGGGTTGCTTGTATTTACGGCATTTAAAGAACAAAAACAATCTATATGGACCTCACTTGACCATCTTTCTGAGCTAACTATTTCTTTTTCTTTTTTTTTTTACTCACCAGTAGGACCAATATTTAGAAATGAAAGTAAAACTATCAAAAAAGGAATTAAAGCAATGTTGGAAAATGGACTAGCTAGCGAACTGTTTTCATGGTGGGGGGTTTGTCTATTGCAGATGGGGATTGGAGAAGCTTCGGCAGCAAAAGAAACGCCGGTTCAATGCACAAGCCAAGCATTGCCGGAGCACCAGCGGGGGACAGATCATATGGCCCACGATCATCATTTTCATCATCTTCACCACCAGCAGCAGATTCCTACGACGGCGTTCCATATTAGCAGGCCTTCATATCCAATTTCCACAATCATCTCGCCACCACCCTTCCATCACACCTCCATCATCCTTGATGAGGACTCCTTTCATGTCTCCAGAATAATGCTTCAAAACGAAAGTTTCCAGGTACTACATATCATCATCATTACTCCATTAGTTATTTCTCCGCATACTATGATCCACCATTAATAGTGTAATTAAAAACTTTTCTCACGAGAAACCACAGTTTTAATGGGTACTCATTTTCTTTGTCTCAATTCCCAATTTTCTCTCGTGAAAATGCTGCACTTATATATTAACTACAGCTCTTATTAAGCTGAAGGGTAACTCGATCTTACATGCTTAATTTCAGTTAAGATCTTGATTCTGAAACAATGAACGGTTTTTATATTTTTTTAATCCTTGTTAAAACATATGATTTAGATGGAGAAATTCTTTTGATCGTTCAGTTATAATTTGTTGATTTGAATATATGCAGCAGCAGCAAAATCATAAACTGGGAGGAAGGTCTGCAACAGGTTTGGAAGAACTAATAATGGGCTGCACTTCAAGTGACGTCAAAGAAGTGAGTATGAACTTTTTGACCCTCAGATCCCATGAGCCTTGTTTTTCATAACATGAATTAAGAAAGAAAGAAAAAAGTACGGGGAAATATAAATAAATAAAAGGATAAAAAGAAGTGAAAAAGGAAAAACCTATATTCTTCAGCTATATTATTCTTAAGGAATAAGAAAGACAACTCAGAATTCTTTCCTTTTCGTTTTGAATCAGAGTTAAGTATATGGCATTCAGCATCCTTAAAGAAATGAAGGCAGCTATCATACTATAAATGAAATGATGTTAAAGTGAGTGCATAGCTTTTTCTTCGTAGAAAATTAAACATAATTATATGCTTTTTGACATGAACAATAGCTTAAGTCTCCTTTTCCACTTTCTTAAGTTTCAGTAGAGATCAAAACGTTAAGGCAATCTTCTTTTATATGTTCTTCTTAAGCATATATAGTTAAGATTCGCTTAATACATCTAAAGCATTAAGGAATTCTTTTATATTTGACGAAAAACATTTAATAATTATTTATAATAAAAAACAAGAATTCCTATTGTTAAAGTACAACTGCTTACAGTAGAATGTGAAACCGTGTAGCCTCCAAAATAAATAGACTACTTTCCCTACATCCTCCTTTTGTTTATCTTTAAATATATGTTGCTATAAAGAAACATGTAAAATCATCAACATACGTAAAATCATGCAAATATAAAATATCTTTAAAATAACATATTACAAACATACGAATTATCAAATTTAGCTATAACATTAACAACATTGTTTTGGTTGGCTATGCATGCATTTGGTTGCAGCATGAAAGCTCTTTTATCATACGTTGCCTCATGAGATTAGTCGGTTGTGGTGTGGACAAAAAAGGCAGCTTCTTCGTTTGTTTGTTTATAAGTGAAACCCTAACCCTAAGTTTGTTTGTTTTTTTGGCAGGAGTCATCAATCACGAACCCACACGAAGCTGAATGGTTAAAGTACTCCTCTTTCTGGCCTGACCCTGACCACCATGGCTAGTCACCATAAAAGCTAAAGTTATAGACAAACCTTCCAAAATAATCACTACTTTGGACGAAGCCAATCTCTGGTTAAAGACCTTTCAAAGGAGAGAGAAAGAAACCAAAACACCAAACACACACACACACACATATAGTTATATAAGTAATATATATAGTTTGTTCTTTTACTTTCTTTTTGTTTAACGGGGGTTGGAAGCCCGTTTCATTACTCTCAACGTTTCGGCTCAGTTACCTGTACAATATACATAGTTCATGTTGTTGGAAAGAAAGAATAAAAATGAAAGAAAGGTGAAGGGGAAGGGGAAGGGGAAGGGGAAGGGGGAAAAAAGCAAAAAAAGAAAGAAAAAGAAAGCAGGGGAAAAGGCTGCTCTCTTCTGACAAATAGAACTGAAGGAGAGAAGAAGCAAAAGACCCAAAGCGAAACATCCAAGCTACTGCATCAAAATCATCACCCTTATCGTCATTATTGTTATATCATCTTTATGTCTGTTCTTATATTATTTTATTATTTCAAGACACTTGTATACTTTCCTTTTATTTCTTTTTGTCTCAAAGAAATATACTGCAAATTGCGAAAAAAAAACATTGTTAATTGTATTGTTGTTAGTCAACCTTTCTTGTATAATAAACAGAAAATATGTTATTTGTCTAATCATATTTTTAATAAAATGACATTTATAATGAAATATGTTAACGAATGCTTAAATAAAAAAAAACTTTTAATAACGTTTATAATGATACTACTTATACATGAAGATATTTATAATGGCAATTGGTTTACAATATTAATTCATATTATTTATAATCTTTATAATAAAATTATTTATACAAATAGTTTAAGATGAATGTTATTCTAGAGATCTTTAATTCGAGTAATCGTGATTCCAAGATATATACTATCTATAATTTAAAAATATTATTAAGATATATTACCTTTTAATCATTTTAAATAATTAAATAAAAATCATTTAAATCAAACATTTTAATTAAATCTGAAAAGAAAGATATTTGTAAATCATCATCATCATATGATAACTTTTTTATGACATGGTCAAATTCAAATCGCTTATTTGACGTAAAAGTAGTTGCTTTGTCCCTACGATCTTATTAATGCCTAAGGAGACAGCACAGCAGCGCTATAATTAATTATGCTCTCCAAATCAAGTGTTCAAAAGAATCAAATACTATTGCTAATTAATGATTCATGATCATCAAAGTTGGTGCAATGTTGACTTATGAGGTCAAGTATTATTTTCAATGTTTATTTTGCTTCTGTGAGGGGGTGATTTTGCTGTGTGGCATCTAAAAAACGATTAAAAACGGTGTGATATGTTAAAAAAGTGATTGGTTAAAATTTAGATTAGTTATGTTATATCATTTAACCAGAAATATTATCAAGTACAATAATATATTAGGTAGCGCTTATATAATATAATAGGTAGCGCTTATATTGACATATTTTCTAACTAAACATGTATATTTAAACCGGTAACATTACAAATTTACCTATTACATTATAATTATCGGTTTTGATGTTTTTGGAATTAATACAATTTTAAATGTATCGACACTTTATGCGTGCACCTCGTTGTGCTTTCATTTTGGGAAAAAAGTATCGACACATATTTAAAGAGTGTTGATATATAATGTAAACATATTTGCTAATTAACCAATATATTTTTACCGGTTACATTGTAAATTTACCTGTTACATAATAATTATCGATTTCGATGTTTTTTGAATTAATACTTTTCATAAATGAATCGACACTTATGCGTGCACCAGTTTGAGTTCTTCAATCATAAGTTTATTCTTTAAGAAACTAAAACTGACCTAACTTTATCCTATGGAGATAATAAGAGTATATCATAACTTTGCATTGAGAGATGTTTGTTTCTGGGTTTTTTTTCTTTGAGAAACTAATAACATGTTGGGTTTCCCAATGTTATTCTTTTGTTACTGCAAAGTTTTTGTTATTTTCTTACTGGGTTTTGCTTAAAATATCTAACTTTTTGTATTAAAAAATGGAAATTCTGAAATAAAAATGATCACACAAGCACACTTTTTTACTATCGGTTTTGTCATTTCGAGATCGATTGTGTCATATTCTTACCTGGTATATTGTTATGGATCGATACATTTTTATAAAGTATCGACACTTTATTGGCGCTATAACTTCTTTTCTTTTAAATTCCAAAAGTGTCTATACTTATAATAAAGTATCGACACTATCAACATATCCGGTATCTCTTTACCGATTTTGTCATTTCGAGACCGGTTTTGTCATATTTTTACCTGTTATATTGTTATGAATCGATACATTTTTATAAAGTATCGACACTTTATTAGCGCTATAACTTCTTATCTTTTAAATTCCAAAAGTGCCGATACTTATAATAAAGTATCGATACTATCAACATATCTGGTAGCACTTTATTAGCGCCATAAAGTATACGACGAATACCAGCGTTCATAACTGTTACGATCAGATATTCAAGTAGATATTTTGATATTTTACCATAAATTAGGGTTTGTTTGATTTGCAGATTGGTCTTTTTTTCTTTAATGTGTTTTTGTTCCAATGTAACAGCATCCACACCCAAAATGGCTCCAAAACGTCAGCTTCAGAAGCGGGGTCTTTCTCAAATCTCTTCTCAACCCACCTCTTCCCAACCCAAGTCAATGAGACGTTTGAGACGAATCTGCCTTACTTTAAAACTCCTTTGCCATCTTTCTTTCTCCGCATCGGATCTAAAGTTGTCAGTTTCGAACGACTTGAGAAGAGATTTGAGAAAGACCCCGCTTCTGACGCTGACATTTTGGATCCATTTTGGGTGTGGATACTGTTACATTGGAACAAAAACACATTAAGGAAAAAAAAGACCAATCTGCAAATCAAAGAAACCCTAATTTATGGCAAAATATCAAAATATCTACCTGAATATCTGATCGTAACAGTTATGAACGCTGGTATTCGTCGGAGTTGATGAGTTCTTTTTTGCCTTTAGGTTTAGGGTTTTTAGATTTGGAGTTTGTATCATATTTATAATAAATGAAAAAAATGAGTAATTTAAAAAGGTATCGACACAAGTTAATAATGTGTCGATACATTATGGTAACATGTTTTCAATGTAAATCGGTATATTTAGACTGGTTATATTGCTAATTTACCTATTACATTATAATTATGGTTTTCGATGTTTTTGGGATCGACACTTGTTACAAATGTATCGACACTTTTTAGGGCACTTGGTTTTGAAATACATTCTGGACAAAAAGTATCGACACTTGTTTGATTTGTGTCGATACTGTTTGTACACCTGTTTTCTCAAAAACTGGTATATTTAGACCGGTTATATTACTAATCTACCTATTACATTATAATTATGGTTTTCGATGTTTTTGGGATCGACACTTGTTACAAATGTATCGACACTTTTTAGGGCACTTGGTTTTGAAATACATTCTGGACAAAAAGTATCGACACTTGTTTGATTTGTGTCGATACTGTTCGTACACCTGTTTTCTCAAAAACTGATATATTTAGACCGGTTATATTACTAATCTACCTATTACATTATAATTATAGTTTTCGATGTTTTTGGGATCGACACTTGTTACAAATGTATCGACACTTTTTAGTGCACTTGGTTTTGAAATACATTCTGGACTAAAAGTATCGACACTTGTTTGATTTGTGTCGATACTTTTTTTACACCTGTTTTCTCAAAAATCGGTATATTTAGACCGGTTATATTGCTAATTTACCTATTACATTATAATTATAGTTTTCGATGTTTTTGGGATCGACACTTTTTACAAATGTATCGACACTTTTTAGTGCACTTGGTTTTGAAATACATTTTGCACCAAAAGTATCGACACTTGTTTGATTTGTGTCGATACTTTTTTTACACCTGTTTTCTCAAAACCCGGTATATTTAGACCGGTTATATTGCTAATCTACCTATTACATTATAATTATAGTTTTCGATGTTTTTGGGATCGACATTTGTTACAAATGTATCGACACTTTTTAGTGCACTTGGTTTTGAAATACATTTTGGACCAAAAGTATCGACACTTGTTTGATTTGTGTCGATACTTTTTTTACATATGTTTTCTCAAAAACTGGTATATTTAGACCGGTTATATTGCTAATCTACCTATTACATTATAATTATTGTTTTCGATATTTTTGGGATCGACACTTGTTACAAATGTATCGACAGTTTTTAGTGCCCTTGGTTTTGAAATACATTTTGGACCAAAAGTATCGACACTTGTTTGATTTGTGTAGATACTTTTTTTACACCTGTTTTCTCAAAAACTGGTATATTTAGACCGGTTATATTGCTAATCTACCTATTACATTATAATTATAGTTTTCGATGTTTTTGGGATCGACACTTTTTACAAATGTATCGACACTTTTTAGTGCACTTGGTTTTGAAATACATTCTGGACCAAAAGTATCGACACATGTTTGATTTGTGTCGATACTTTTTTTTACACCTGTTTTCTCAAAAACTGGTATATTTAGACCGGTTATATTGCTAATCTACCTATTACATTATGATTATAGTTTTCGATATTTTTGGGATCGACACTTGTTACAAATGTATCGACAGTTTTTAGTGCACTTGGTTTTGAAATACATTTTGGACCAAAAGTATCGACACTTGTTTGATTTGTGTCGATACTTTTTTTACACATGTTTTCTCAAAAACCGGTATATTTAGACCGGTTATATTGTTAATATACCTATTACATTATAATTATAGTTTTCGACGTTTTTGGGATCGATACTTGTTACAAATGTATCGACACTTTTTAGTGCACTTGGCTTTGAAATACATTCTGGACTAAAAGTATCGACACTTGTTTGATTTGTGTCGATACTTTTTTTACACATGTTTTCTCAAAAACTAGTATATTTAGACTGATTATATTGCTAATATACCTATTACATTATAATTATAGTTTTCGATGTTTTTGGGATCGACACTTTTTACAAATGTATCGACACTTTTTAGTGCACTTGGTTTTGAAATTTGCTAATCTACCTATTACATTATAATTATAGTTTTCGATGTTTTTGGGATCGACACTTGTTACAAATGTATCGACAATTTTTAGTGCACTTGGTTTTGAAATACATTTTGGACCAAAAGTATCGATACTTGTTTGATTTGTGTCGATACTTTTTTACACCTGTTTTCTCAAAAACCGGTATATTTAGACCGGTTATATTGCTAATCTACCTATTACATTATAATTATAATTTT